TCTCTCTCTCTCTCTCTCTCTCTCTCTCTCTCTCTCTCTCTCTCTCTCTCTCTCTCTCTCTCTCTCTCTCTCGGTGTATGTGTTGTGTGTGGAGTTGAACTTTCTACCACTTTAGACGGACACGCTTGTGCCCCCACATCTTCAGCGCCTGTACCTGCGCAATTGCTTCTTCGCCCTCTTGCGCATTTGCTTGCGATACCTCTTCTTGTCCTTGACGGCCTTTGATAGGAACGGCTGCATGGAGGGATCGAAGCCAACAATAAGGAGAACCCAACAAAAATCAGAATAAAACCCAACGTAGGTAGAAAATTCACGTCCGACAAGGCACGGAGAAATGGGCGGAGAAATGGGGGGCGGCCAGAAAAAAGCAAGGGCGACGTCTCTGGCTACCGTCTTCCCCCGGGGCTCGGACACAAAGCACCCTCGTCGTGACTCGTGAATGTATACAAGTTACACAAGTTATCTTCCCGGTCCCACTGTAGACTGATGATGAGGCTGGCTGGCTGCGTTGTGATCGGGGAAAGAGGGCCTTTTCGAACGGAGAGGGGGCAAAAAAGAAGAGACGTAAGCAAGAGGGGCGTAGAAGACCTGCATCGTGATGCTCTCATTAACACCAAAAAAAACAACAACAAGAAAGAAAGGAGGGAAGATGGGCAGCATGGGCTTAGCCATAAACCCATAGGTTCACAGGATGCATGGGCTTAGCCATAAACCCATGAGCACCAACCGGCCTACTTGTAGTCCAGTTGGTGCACCCATGAATTGTTCAAATATGAATCAGACCCAAGTTCGAATCCAGATGCAATCAGATGAACAGAATAAAACGATTCTTAATGACCTGGGTGACGGGTCGATTCCATGATGATATCACAAGGCCGTCCCCCTTTGGGAATGGAAAAAAAAAAAAAAAAAAAAAAGGACACGTGGAGAAGTAAGGTATGATCGCATATAGTCAGAACCGAAAAGAAAGAAAGCAGAAATTAGATTAGAGGAAAGAAACTAAGGCGAGAACTTAGAGGAAAGAAACTAAGGCGAAAACTTTGGTTTCCCACTTTAAGTTAGACGAGCGCCACACAGTCTGTGTGAAGTAGCTTTATAAATAAAAAAAACCGGTTGGGGTACTATTGCAACGTGCGTCAACAAAAAACCTGGTGAATCAAGCTGAGCGGGTGCAAGAGGTGACTTAGCAGCAAGTCTCCGTCAACAAAACCGCAGGCCAAGTTGCAAGGCGCGAGAGCCCGATGTTCGAGAGAGACAAATGAAGAGCCAGAGCGGCGTCGGTATCACCCATGGTCTTCGTTCAGCTTGCACAACTGCTGGCAAACGAAAAAAGGAAAGAATTGTGTGCATGGTGTGTGTGTCACAGTGTGTGTGTGTGTGTGTGTGTGTGTGTGTGTGTGTGTGTGTGTGTGTGTG